GCGATGGACACGGAGAGCACGGCGAGGCTGAGGGGGTTTTAGGGGTGTTAGGGGGTTTTGGGTTTAGGGTTTCAGGGTTTAGGGTTTAGGGTTTAGGATGTATGGTTTAGGGTCTAGGTTTTTGGATTCAGGATTTAGGGTCCCCGAACCCTGAAGCCTGCACCCTAAACCCCGCAGTTGGGGCTTCGAAGAAGGGGGGTGAAGTTGGGTAAGGAGTTCTGTAAGGCAAGAGGTACTTGGGGGCTACTGGTGGTTTGAGATGAGGAGAGACACATCAGTCTAGGACATTTTCAGGTGGGTAGTTGTAGTTATAGGAGCCTTATATACCCTAAACTACCCACCTGTAGTTTCCTTTTAAATCAGCTCTGACAGCAGGTAGCTTATGCTCTCCATCGTGCATAGGATCACGCAGCTCAAAACCCTGTTCTAATTAGGGGCCCCCTCTGCAGAGCTGTATGACACCCTATGGGAGCCCTGAAAGGAACATTTTCCAATTTTTCCAAGGTGCCTGTATTATTGTCACCCGCTCCGCATGAGGTCCTCCCTCGCAGCGCCCCGGCAGAGGCGGGGAAACGGTTATGCCATTTTCTAGCATACTGTCTATATAGTCTAGTATAGTACCTCATAGTATACTATCGTCTATCAGAGCACATGCTAGTGTTTGGTTAGTTCTCTAAATTAGGGTCCCTTTTCAAGTGCTCGATGTAGTGCGGCACCCTTATAAAAACCGACCCTACAGGGGACCCTATTTTAGAGAACCACCCATATAGTCTAGTATAGTACCTTAATGGTATACAATCGTCTATTATAGTACATGCTAGTATTTGTGACATGAATCCTGCATTACTTTAAGAACCCTAAACTATGGGAATTATGGTATACTCCTTATTGGGGAATAATGCAGGGTTTGTGTGTATACATATATATATATATACCATCATCATCATCATCATCATCAACCGTAGTATATGACATGTTGGTGCACGCATCCAAAGATGTCGGTTTGCCAAACCCAGCGAGGTGCGGAATCCCTCGGAGCCGTGGGGCTCTCTGCCGGGGGGTTTAGGGTGTGGAGTTTAGGGTTTAGGACTTAGGGGTGTAGGGGTGTAGAGGTCTAGGGTTTAGGGTCTAGGGTTTAGGGTCTAGGGAAGTGTCGAATTTGGCCCTCAGTGTATTACTAGCAGGAAAGCTTAACCTTCTGTTTCTGTGGCTTCTTGGGGCAGTAAGTAAATGAGAGGGGACTTCATGTTAGGACTGTTTGGTAGTAGAGGGCACGTGTTTCAAAACCCCGCGTTTCAACTTTTGGGGGCTCTTATGGGGCAGTCTTGCTCTGAAAGTTTCAAGTTTTTGCCCCTTACTAGGTAGGTCCTTGGGACATGTTATCTAGGAGGGTCGTATGCTTTTTCAAAGGTTTGAAAGTTCTGTGATAAAGTAGCCTTAACATCCTTCAACCTTCCCGGGATAAGATAGCTATTCGGGTACTATAAGCCCCATAGTATGATCCCAAAACTAAACAAGCCGGCGTTTGTCGTGAACATAGGCGCTTTAATGATATTCCATACTGTTCCTTAGCGGTCCTCTTATGTAGCGCTATATACTATTCCCCGAAACCGGATGATGCACACTTGAGTGCTAAGAGTGCTAATGCTAAGGGTTTGAAGCCCGACGTGTCCATGCAGCCCTAAACCCTAACTAAACCCCTAAACCCCTAAAACCCTAAACCCCTAAACCCTAAACCCCTAAACCCTAGGCCACTGAGTGCATACTTAAGGAGTACAAGCCTGAGCGCCAGGTGGGCACATCTACCCTTAAGGGCCCCCTTTTGTAAGAGTCCCTTATAAAGGGTTCCTTTAAGGGTTTAGGGTTTTAGGGTTTAGTGTTTAAGGGTTTGGTTTAGGGACTCCTGAGAAGGAAGCATCCGAAAGACTAAGTCTGACCATGCAGATGTCGTGGGCAGCGAATGAGGCCAAAGCCGCGGACGGCAGAGAATAACCCGTTCCGTGGGTACAAGGCGCTTGGGCTTGGGGCGGGGGTACCTTGGTCAGGCGTGCTGAGTAAAGGGATGTCGTAAGGGGTATTATAACCGCTACTGTTGTATGTCGCCAGTGGAGATATGGTACTATGCTGCCGTTCAGCAAGAACCGTCACCGAGAGCTTGTCTTGTGGCAGCATTTTTTTTGGTGATTCTGTTTGTGCCCAGCACACCTGTCAACATCATCTCTTTTGCTTTTGGGTTTAAGTGCTTCAGCAGCCTGTTGTGCCTGTTAGATGTTGCCAGAGGGTGAACAAAAAGAAGGTCCTGGTGTCGGCCCTATGACGGATTGATTGCTGCAGCCTTCACTATCAAGAATCAAAGTTTTGACAGGTATAAACCCTAAACCCTATGAACCCTATGAACCCTATAAGCCCTATAAACCCTATAAACCCTATAAGCCCTATAGTTCCCCCTTGATGCCCTCAGCCCTCTGGGCTGTCATGGACAACTGGCGAGACGATGAATCTGAGGAACTGGACCTTCGACCGGTGGGCTCAGGAAAGTTCGTGGATCGCTTTGGCAGAGCCTGGCAGCGAGCTGTCTGGGACGATGATTTGAGAGCAATGGAGGAAGAAGATGTGTTTTGGCGACCAAACTTCTTTCCAGCTCAAGTCTTCTTTCGTGTGGATGCGCCTTCTGCACCGTGCACCATCCCTTATCAGCCGAAGCAAAGCGCCGATCTGAAAGTTGATCCTCTCCACTCCCGCAGTCGCCTCGCAGCCTGTCATCTTCATCTCGGAGAGTTTCTGAAACTAATCCTCGGAGTCAACATGCCGCAAGATGCGCTTCTTGCTATCTGTGCTTTGCTCCCTCTCAGAGAGCGTCGGGCTTTCAGCTGTTTGGCCCGACAGTTCCGCTTGGCAACCACGCTCACTTGGAGTGACGACCCTGTGGAGAACGACACGACTCTCTTGAGCATCATGCGGAAAGATCAGCCGGAGTTTCTGTCCAGAGCTATCAAGGATTCCGGCACAAGCAAAGATTCGCTCGGACGGATTCTCGTGCATGCGACTGATGGAGGCAGAGTCTACCGTCGCCACCGATGCTGCAGACTTCTGGGTGAGATGGGTGCAGAAGTTCGTTGTGAAGATGCTGTCAGGGTGACAGGTGGACTGCTCGGCTATCACGATGGTGTGTATGTTCGGAAGCTCGGGCAAAGCCGGCTTGCGTATATCGGCAGCGATAGCATTTTGGCCTTAGAGGAGCCCTCCGAGAACTTGTTCCGCCGGATTGAGCAAGGTTTCAAGATCAGCCCAGACAGAACCGCGAAGGATAAAATCTGGTGCCATTTGGACGATGGAGGCTTGAACCTGGCCCATGTTGCATTCTCGGCCAGCACCGTACCGCCCTCTGACGGATGGCATGCAGAAGCGGACTCACCACGGGTGATCCCTACCATACGTGTCCAGCCGTTGCGTCTCGAAGACCTGCTGTATTCCGGCCCGGCGAGTAGTGGCCCAATTCTGGACAGAAGGGAGGTTCGCATCTCATTCGCCAGGCCGCTTCATTGGATCCCCGCAAGTGACCGGTCCGAGGCATCTGGACTCTAAAACGGTTTTTGTGTCAGCAGGGGCAAGGCCCTTCTACTCGAAATCCTCGCACCCCACCTTCAGCTACCAAACCCTACTTTGCTTGTAGGGTCGTATTGTTACAGAAAGGCTCATTGATGAATAGTTACAGTAGGTTTTGCTTGGTGGTGTAACGCATGTATGACAAAGAGACAAGAAGTAGAGAGCACATAGCAGACATGCAGCGTCCCAAGCAGCAGTCGGTACTCGGATCGTCGTTTACAAAAGCCGACGACTGACAAGAAGACAGGTTGTACTGCTGTCGTTGATCAGGAAGATCTCATGGCATTCCTCCATCCAGGGTTTAGGGTTCAGGGTTCAGGGTTTAGGGTTTAGGGTTTAGTGTTTAGGGTTTAGGCAAAAATCTCCACTTGGACGGAGGTATATGTCACCACGTATGTCATGATATCGATGATGGAAAACGGCCTTCAGGAGAGTTCAATGTCACACTGGCAGTCCAACCCCCCCCTAACCCCTGAACATCCCTCAACCCTAAATCCTAAACCCCTAAACCCCTAAAGTCTAAACCCCTAAACCCTAAACAC